CAACAAATCAGGCTAGTCACATATAGTAAAGTATTAATTAATGTTTAAAAAGTTTATATCAATTTTAAATCTACTAAATGTCATCAGATGCGATCTAAGACCTAAAAAAAAAAAAAAAAACATTGCTTGCCCTTTAACGCTGAAAATGGCGCAAAAAAGGGTTTTTTTTATTGTTTTTTTTTTTTCATGTCATCAAAATTAACATATTAAATTGCAATGCTTGTAATTAAGCCTGTCTCACTATTTGTTTTTCAAAAGGTATTCATCAGACTGAATAAAAATAACCTATAGTCAATATTTTGCAATTAATTTAGGCCTAGAATGGCGATATTTTACATCAGACACCAAATTCAGACAACTTTCATGTGTAAAATGGAGAAAAATAAATATAATTTTTCTAAAATTTGTGATCAAAAAATTGACAAAAAACCAAATTTTTATTTTAAAAATTTTTCAGTGAGCTAGGGGCAGGCTCTGGAGGGCAAACAAATCATTTTTTTTTTTGGCCTAATCTGGAGTTATGTCAGGGAACGACACAAAATACTCGGCTAAGTTCATGCTGAAATTTTCGCCTCAAACGACCGTTCTCATACAGTCCCGGTATATTTCTGCTAACAAGAGGGTCACTGATGATACATTACGGTGCAAAATAACAACATTTGAGCCTGAAATTGGCAAAAAATTTAACTTGTTCTTATAACAAAAAAAAATTGTATAAACTGACCATGCATGCGCAAAATCTTAACGCTGTTCACACTATAAAATTTTATGTGACAAATGTGATGTGCTCATATTTGGCACATAATGTGACTTCATCATGCCCATTATTGGCACATCACACAAAATTGTCACATAAAGTTTGATAGTGTGATCAGAGATTTACTGTCTTAACTGTTCACACTATAACATTTTATGTGACAAATGTGATGTGCTCATATTTGGCACATAATGTGACTTCATCATGCCCATTATTGGCACATCACACAAAATTGTCACATAAATTTTAATAGTGTGATCAGAGCTTTACTATCTTAACTGCTTATTTCAATTCAAATACAAACACAAGTTTGACCAAGGTAGAGTTACCCTTTGTCTTGGGCAAAATTAAACCAATGCAAACAGCCTTAGAGCAGAATAGACAGTCAGTTGGTTTACTAGACTTGTAGTCTTCACCATGTTTCTGAATTCAATTTAGTTTTTATTCAGTATTTGATATAGGTAGCATAAAATGATGAATTACATCAAATAACACAAAAGAGACCAAACAATTAATAACAATTATAGAAAAACAATTTTGATTAAAATTATCAACTACTACATTACTGTAAGTAATAATGATATTGAAATAATACAAAAAAAAAATGACAGGCACAAGCAAAAAGAGAAACATTAGAAATTGGGGGAAAATGAATGAAAAGTATGGAAATGCATGAAAAGACAACAAAAATACATTAAATGAAGAAATATTGCATAGCAGACCAAGCAGATAGAGAAAATTAGTTATATTTACAAAATCGATAACTTTAAACATTTGTATTTAATTATTAAAAATTGTAAAAATTCATTGCACAAAAATTAAGAATTAGTAAAATTATATTAAATAGAAATTCTTATTCTTATATAAGGTGTGTACTGACACATGCAGAACCTACTTCCCCAGTTCAAATCCATTGTCGTTGCTCCTGTATCTAGATTAGATAATAATAGGTAATTTTATATTTTTAATTGAACCTGACATTTCTAATTCTTCATCATTAGTCCAAACAGAGAAACCACAAACAAAAGAAGTGATTAGTATTGTTCTTTCAGACAGCCATGTCAACTACTAATTAAAGTGTACATTCTTGCATGAGAAGACTCATCAACACTTTATGAAAGATATATTGATCATTGCACAACATGGTTGACAAGTAATCTTCAAAATAATTATTGGATGTTGAATAGAAGGGGGCGCTAAAGACGACATTATGAACGTGTAATTATTATGACGCATTTTTGATCCCCAACAGGAACTTAGGAAACATTACTACCAAGGGGAATGTCCCCTAGGCTGCTAGCATCTGATTTATTTTGATTAAACTAACTCTGTAACCTGTTAGTTTGACCAAGGAAAGTCCAAAACAAACACTTCTTTAGGTAACTAAATTATAAATTATAACGTAATTGCTGTTATAAATGTATTTTAGTAGTGAGAAATGAATCCAGAAGTAAAAGAATCGTATGTTAAAGTGGTTCCGTAAATCAAGTTGTTTAAATTATGTAAACACCATGCCATTAAAGACAATGCATTTTTGTTTGTTTCCAGATTACTGAAATTTGTTAGCAAGCACTAGAAAAGATTTTTATTCAACTTGTGGTTTTATTATAGCACTATAACTTTTTTCAATATTTTAACTGAACCAGCACTGGTTGTTCTAGTGTTAAGCTCTATTTAAGGCCAAATAAAAAAATATTACTAGTTTCTCGTCCCCTCGTGCATCCATTTTCACTGCCTCACCAATTTTTTATTATTATTTTTTTTTATTTCCTTTATTTTATGAAATATACGAAATATAACTCACATCAGTAAAATTCCTCTCTCGATCGTTCATGGTTAGGGATACATATGGTATGAATCATATCTAGTGCTTCTTTTATTTGCTTTCTTTTATTTGCTATCAAATTTTATGCGACAAGTCCTGTGATAATATATTAATGCTTGCGGTACCCTGTACATAGGTAGTTCTGAAAAGAACTGTTGTTGTTGGTTGAGAATATCTCGCCGTTTCGATTGAGTTGCTTCAATCGTCTTCAGGAGAATAATATCTGCAGAAATCCCAAAACTATGAAATACTTTTATGTTTGTGTCTTAGTATTCTCATTCCTGAAGATCTGTCAATTATCCCCTCCCTTTCTTTAGTCAGAGTAATAATTTTTTTTATCTTATAAGTTTGTTTGGTGAGACTGCTGGTGATTGGTTGAAAACTAAACAATAGTCCTGTGATTTTGCAATGTATGTATGCAATATGACATGTCCACATATTATTATTTTTAGGCAAACTAAAGATTTTTATCATAGTGTGCACAGAGCCTTAGTCATTAACAATTTATTATCATGGTTACCAGCTAAAAGATAGCTTTATGCTAAGTCTGTCATTTTCTTCACTGACACTACATAAAAATAGAACTAACAACAGTATATTTAGTTACATGATATTTAAAACTTTAATACACCAGCTAAACTAAATACAAAATATCCGTTTTACATTACCTTGGATTGAACTTGGAACAAAAGATTGCCTGAGGCAAGAGTGTTTGTCACGAGGGACTACATACCTGATTCATTAATCGTTCAACACTATAACATAAAACATGCCGTTGCCACACATACAGCAATTGCCACTAGGTACAGTTTGCTTATTTGTGAGAGTGCAGTACCACAATAGCTTTTTATTTCAAACATTTTTCCATATTTTGTAAAATACATTCCATTTACGAACCATGGTGGTGTAAGTGGTGGCAGATGTCAGTTCATGTTTTACTGCTATGACATCGCATATCACATCTACTACTGAAATCCATTGCTGACATTTTGTTATAAGCAATGTTTATGTTGGAGTTCTCAGTTCAGTGACTATAGTATTTACCGGTAATTTAAAAATGCTCCAACACTACTAAAATGTACATTGAAAAGAATTCTAACAAAACAGAAACTTTATTTATTTTTTGTGGTATTACTGCACATCTATTCTACTTGCCAAGGACCTTGAACACCTTTAGAACCTTCAAATGAACAATCTTCCATGTAGGCCTTTCAGCTCTTTTTAAGTGGTGTTTGGATGAATTAGGGATTGTAGCCACCTACTCTACATTGAAAAGTCAAATCCCTTCACAACACCTCCCACAAAACATAGCCTGGGATTTGATTCTTATATGGAGGGTAATATACTTAAAGTACGGTATTGCAATGAATATGGACCAAATAATACTGTCACAGCAATTCAAGTATCACGTATCTAGAATAAATAAATACATTTATGTGTTAACTTCAGAGTAAATGGCCAGCCATGCTTAGTGTAAAGGATTAGCTTTTTAATAGATTTTTATTGTAATGTAAGTTCATATAGGCCTTTTTCATTGTTATATATATCAAACAATTATTTGTTATTTCTTTTTTTGCTTTCCTGAGAATTATTAATTCCTGTTTGTGTTTCTGTGGTGTAAGCCTAATTAAAGGCAATAAGACAATACAGTATTTGATTTTTTTTTAGAGTTTATAAAAGTCAGCATAAGCTACTCAATCAAATTATACCCTGGGCTTTTTCCTGAGAAAAGGTTGGTACATAAACATTTGGTTGAAAAGATGGGGGTGGGCTTATACCTGAGGAACTACAGTACTGGTCACAGCTCCTTCACCATCCGCACGCACGCACACTACTCAAGAGCGGTTCTCGAGCAAATCACGTGTTGTAAGCTGATGAATAACTAATAACCAAGAGCCCAAAGTTCAGTCACGTATTACGGCATTGAGTAAAAAATGGTCGATGGACTTCTTGGTTTCCAATAAGCTAGTTTGTTTGCTGTTTACTGTAGTTTTTATTAGGAAATAATTAGTATGAGTAAACAACAAGTTAATTTCGAAGATTAGCCTGTCATTCATAACGTAACTGTTACATTATAATGACACCAGACATCTAAGAGCTGATTATATTTGAAATCTGCAATCCTTTTATTAGGATTACAGAGGTTATAAAAAAATATATTTTTATCATGAGTGAACCTAAAAACTTAGGTTTGGAAGAAAAGCACCTTAACCAGCATGTCACAGCTTCACACAATATATAATATATTGTTTTGTTTATTTTTTATATTTTACAGGTACCACAATATAGGATTGCTTGTGTTCTTCTTGCATGACATTACCGATGTGTTTTTGGAGAATTCTAAGCTGTTGATTTATTTCAAGATACGTAGGGGTAAGAAGTATCCCATCAATGACCAACTAGCCAACGTCGGCTTTGCCGGATTCAGTTTATCTTGGTAAGGATCGCTAGTCCTACAGTACCTACTGTAGTTTTTTGTCAAAGGAAAGGCTATTCACCTAGTCTGCCAGTGTGACTATCTTCAGTCTCGAATGCAGAAGCATTTGGTTTGGAAACTTGGTGACTTGCGCTACATGCTTCCATGCATCAAATTGAAATTATTTGTAATTTCCTGTATTCTTTTGCGTAGACCCTGGTCATTTATTTAAGGATTTTTTTGCAGCAAAATGTCTGCAAGTCAGCAAGAAATATTTTTTAAATTGTTTCTGGGTTGAAGGTAACTTCTTCCAAATTTTAATTGAACTTTTTACGCTTGTCCCTATTTATTTTTCAGACAGACATCTTTAAAGCTTAACTTATGTACAGTATGCTAAAAAATGAACATTATATTAAATGTAAATTTAGGCCACAAACTAAATTATAAGAAATATAAATATTAGCATTAATTATAAAAACTACAGTACATGTATAATAATAATTATTGAATATTATTTAAATGCTAATGTATTTTATAAGTACTTTATATAGTGTGTAATAGGTAGTAAGTCAAAGGGTAATATAGCAAAATGGCCTTCTGATAGCATCCTCAATTTCCTTTAGGTCCAAGTAAATCCCTGTGGACACATACAGTACATCCCTAGTTGTACTCTAACAAGTGTTCCCTGCTATGTTTCCTTTCAAAATTCAAAAATATCTTTATTGGCAATCACAGTATACAATGATTGAATTATACAATAAAAAGTCATAAATTTAAAATACATTTAAAGAAAATTTACAGGATCAATTAACAATTTGATATTTATTTACATGATAAAGGATTTTAATATTTATAAAAATATATAAAAATATGCATATTTATACACACAATTCAATCACATTCAAAACACAAACAAAACACATTAAACATCACAAAAAAGAAAAATCACACACAAAAAAACAAATATACAAAACAAACACACAAATCATTATCACATAAATCATTATCGCTGAGAAGCATCAAGCACAGGTACAGTAGTGAAGAAGAGTGAGCTCTGTTAGAAACCATCTACCAATTTTGAAACACCCCATAATTGATAATAAATTTTTAGTCCTCTCATTTTTTTCCTGTACACAGTGCAATCATGTGATTTCTTGATATCATATCTGATCAAAATTATCTGTTTGAACGGTCAGGGACAGGTGAGCTTGGTACCCCATTTGCCTTGTTTAGAACCAAAGTCCAGTCATTGTCATGTGATTTGTGTTTTTATATCGAATGATTGTAGAAGTGGTTCAGCCAGTGGGAACGGTTTGGTTTCCCAACCTCGAGGTCGGGGTTTCAATTCCCTCGCTGTGCATTTTGTTTGTGTCCTTGGGCAAGGCACTTTATCTACATTGCTTCTCTCCACCCATGAGTATAAATGGGTACCTGGTAGGGTTAAATGCCAAAATGCGCTGAGGTAGCTGCTGCAACTTTATGGAACAGTTTGTGTTCCATAGGTGTGTAATCCAATGACCGGGGGTAGTAATGTGAAGCGCTTAGAGGCCTTGTTGGCATTAAGGGCTATATAAATATAACATGTTATTATTAATAAATCCATGAACAAACCAAGATAACAGAGATATTTGAGTGTGCGTGACCTAATATGGTTTACACAAAGTCAAAACAGCAACAAACAATGGCCTGGTGGGATACATTGTGGAGAGATTTTGTTAGTTTTAGACTATTCATTCTGATTCTTATAGCCTACTACATACCATAATCATAGGACTTCTGTGTGCCATAATAGCTTGCTATATACCATAATATTGTAGGCCTACTACACACCGTAGTAATATAGCTCCCCTTCCATTCCCCCCCCCCCCACTACATTCCATAATATAGGTATGCTACACACTGTAATATAGGCCTACTACATGCTGCATTATTGACCCGCTACATACCATAATAATATATTAGATCATTTCTTTAGGATTTTTCAATGATATGCCAATCAGTGAACCTTGTCACTATCTTACATGGCACCCCCCCCCCTACTCTTCTCGAAGGATGTACTGGGGTCTGTAAAGTGCACACAAGCCAAATGAAGACTTGTTCCACTACCAGAACCATTGGCGAGTAAGCCATTTGAGCCGGCGCTGATATTATAGGTTACGGTGCCCCTAACTTAACAGCTCAGCCTATCAACTCGCAAAACACCAATGAAATAGTCTTGCTACATAAGCTAACCTACTACATGTTGTAATTATCCCACTACATACCATAATGTAGGCCTGCTACGTAACAGATATAGGCGCTGCTAAATCTGTATGCCTATTAATTGATAACTTTACCATATTCTGGTGCATTGTTACCGTACAAGATCTTGCAGACTCCAAAAAGACTAAGAGAAGCCAAAAGTGATTCGATAATTATTTTGTTCTTTATTTGAACATCATCAGCCTATCACCGAAAGTCAAATAAAGGAATCCCAGGGCTTCTATTTGAGGTTTTATGTTCTATACAATAACCTGTCCACAAAAGGGCAGTGTTATAAATATACTTTATTTTTAAATGGTTGTAAGCATATTTCTAGTTCATGTTGTATTGTAGCTTCAAATGTCTTTGTGTTATCATAGCCTCTACCTGGAAGGTTATAATATAGAATGACCATTCTTTATAGTTTTCCGGATGATGAGTCATACAGTATTAAAAGATGTTTTAATAAGGTCTTGAACATTAAATCCTAGATCATCAAATAATAGTATCGGCCATTTATATTAATAATTCCCATTCTATCAAACTTATTGGAATAAGGACACACACACAAAAACATATTACAACATGCACAAAACTTATACTTTAGCCAAAAATAGAATTGGTATTGTGAAAGAAAGCTATATTTCCTGCTACTGCACAGCAGACTAAGTCCTGAAGTTGGTGGTTAAACATTGTTGGTGTGTTTATTGTTCCTTCTAGTGAATTGTTTGTGCAGTCATATTTGGAAAATTTGAATACAATGTAAATTTTTAGAAGGCTAGTTATTACATTTGTGTGATAACAAAGATTGTGGGGTACAGTCCCTGCCAGTATTTTTACTGGTGAGTAAATAAACAACAGTTTGCAAGATCAATAAGAACACAAAAAATGAAAGGGAAGTCAAGCAAATGGAGAAAATTGTATACATACATGTATGAATTGAAGAATTCAAAATAGAAAATAAGGAAATTGAATTATATAACTAGTAAAATGGTAGGAAATCAAATTTAATACGTTTAAAAACATAAACATCCTTAGTTCAATATCCTATAATTGGCTGTGTGATGAACCACAAGCTGATTTCACTTGCACTCTAGATGTGTCTGTCAATTGTTTGTATTGTACTGAAAGAAATAAAAAAATATAGATAATATAATCCAAATAAAAATTGTAAAAATTTTTAATAATGGTTTTCTTCTCCTTCCTCATCTTAGGGAAATTGTTCTTGATTCCCAGTTAAAGTACCAGAAAATCTAGCAAAATGTAAATATTTTCTTTAACAATGGGTATGTTTGGGCAGGTCTAAACATAACTTAATAATATTGGAATGTGTGTGTGCATGTGTGGTTACTGCACGACTATCTTTGAAAAAAGTAAAACAGGGGGCCCCCTTTTCTAAAATGCCCTCAGACGAGATTAATTGGCGTAAGATTTTCTTATTGTATGCCATGAAACAATTAGAATTCCATTTAGTTCAAAATTTCTACAAATATGTGGAATGACTTGCGAAATGTTGGGATATTAACAGTGTAAATTTTGCTATGTTATTGTTATTGATTGTCATGAGTTTATTGCAATACCTCGACATGCACTTTAAGATTGCGCCATCGCAATAAACAATGAATTCTTCATTGTGAAAATGTTTTTAAATAATTCATGCCTGATGGAACATGTGTTATTTTTGTTTTTCAATTTGTCTAATATATTTGTGCACAAAGGTGGCCAAAATTATGGAACAATGAGAAGGTTTTATAACATTACGAAAAACAATGAATGCATTACACCTTCATTTTCATTATTTCCTTTAAACGTTCTGTTTCACACGCAAATTATCTTCCCAGCCCCTAGGTCCTGAAAATTCTGGAATGAGACTTGAAATTCTAATGTTTTTAAATACTTCATGCGTGATCAAACACGTGTTGTTTTTGTTGGGTCATCATTGAATCATAATGAAGTAAATATTTTTCTTAAGAATGACAGGTTTATTATTGAGTCCATATTAGAGTAATATTATGACAAAACATTATTCTTATGTAAGGACTTAAGTGTAATGACTTCTTTACAGAAAGGGTTTCCACTTTCCAAAAAATAAAAAGAGGAAAATCAAGTCTGGCTTGCTAGGAAGAGATATAAAATCCAAATCTCAGTCCAGTGGGTAGCCACTGATAGTGCTTGTTTTCATTTTTGTAGGATTGCAAAAGTCACCCTATTGTTCATTACATATTACTTTCAATTTCGTTCAGGTATTATTATGTTTAATTCTCTGTAAAACTAAAGTATTTTCACATTTGTTTTTTTTTTTTTTTTCTCAGGTTTGTGTGCAGATTGTACTGGTTCCCGTTGAAAGCCTTGTGGTCGGCTTCAAAGGTTACCGATTTCGATGACAGACGCATGCCGTTCGTCCTGCTTCTAAACTCAATGCTGTGGGTTCTTCTTGTAATGAACATCTGGTGGTTTACGGTTAGTACATGGTCGAATAATCAGTTTTGAGTGATGACAATTAAAGACACTGATGACCCAAGGGGCAGTACATATTTGTATACAATAGTACAAAAATCAATCCTAAATTCTTTAGTAACAACACCATAATTGTTCTATATAGTTGCAAAATTATACCAGAATTTTTGTTTGATTTTATTTTATGAAAATTTAATTGACTTGTTCACAGTACAAAATCAAAATTAGAACAAAATATAAAGTGAGGAAGTGAACAAAGAATTTAATTATTTTTTTTTTAATAGATATAACTAAGAACAATATTTCATTAAAATATAAAGCTATTCTAGTATCTAGGCCTAGGGGCTAATTCTTATTCCACTTTTATATTCCAAAAAAAAAAAAAATCTAATACAGAAATTATAATAACAACAAATGTTGTACACTGTAATCCGGAAATGATAATGATTAAAAAAAAATGTTTTACACTGTGTAGTGCTTAATAGCATGATCAGTAAAGAAAAAATAAGAACAAAGTAATGGAATGAGGATGAAACACTAAAGAAATAACCTAAAAGGTAACCAGGAAGTATATTTCACCAAATGGAATCCATAAACTAATGAGTAAATGAAATAATTAACAGGAAAAAAAAACCAAACAAAACACACTGATTACTAACAGGCCCAGAAACTACAGTACAGACACATTTCAAGCGCCCTGAGCATCTTGCATTAGGTGGATTTATGCACTATATAAAACTACACTATGATTATGATTAGCCCTGGCCTAGTTTAGTAGTTGATATGTAATTCGGACAACCTACAACTAGCCTAGGCCTACTAGTACTACCCTAGGCCTCTAGGCCTAGTCATAATATTCCGAGTTTTCCCGAGATTTCTCATGGTTTGAAAAAGTGCATGTGTGAAACGAACCAAAAATCTCGGAATATCAAACTTGTTACAACTTGTTAATAGTTGTTAAAATTTGTAATATTTTCTGCTAGTGTGAAATGGGTATTAGAGGCTAAGATCTTTGGGATTTCAGATATTTTTATTATTTTGTAGATAGCATGATTGTTGACACTTTCTTGGTTTGAAAAACTGTTTTTCTGCCCTCCACAATACCCCCTTGGTACCAGCACATTGGTCCCAAGTTGGAAGAAGTCAGTTATTTTATGCGGGAGTATTCTTGCTTCCTTGCGGGAGTGTGGGACACGGTCCTGCGTGTAGTGGGAGAGTTGGTACCCCTGCCAACACTGCACAAAAATTGTTGAATCCTTACTGTTTTGTCTTAATGCTCTTTTATATATTTTTTAATATCAACAGTTTATCTTATCGATGCTGTACAAGGTAATAACAGGACAGTCGACAGAGATTGATGACATTAGAGAGGAAGACATAGTCCCATCAGAAAAGAAATTAAATGAGATGCTTCATGTTGGTAATGGCAAACAAAATGGAATCCACAGGTGAGAGGTGGCTGTCAGTCATGCACTGTTGCAGGATTACGATACTCACTTTCAATTCCATGATTCAGAGAAGGCCAGGAATGAGAAACATAATATCCAAAACAAATTAATTTATTATTTAAAGGTGGTCAGTTTAAATGTAAATTACTTCAAAATTAACTTGAATTGATCACTTATAAGGATCACAAAACCCAAAAATTGTGACAAAAAAAGTTCATCATTAATTAAAGGCTGTTAACAATAAATATTTTTATTTAAAAAAACTTCCTTTACTAAAGCGTAACTAAACAGAAGTTTACTGATGATCTTATACACCATACCTCTTCCTCGTGTATCCAATTTGATGACCGTACAATTTACTCTCATCCCCAATATGAGAGTTTTTTCTTGAGGTCAAGCCCCATTATTGTCATGTTTCACATGCACATGTGCTAGTAATCACTAGGGACTGACAGCTTATTGTCCCTTCTGAAGGGCAAGGTAATTTGAACAAACAAGCAAGTACAGCATTGACATGTCTAATGCTTTACCAAGTGTCAGGTCCCCGTCGTCCGATGCCACGATAAGGCTGTTGGGACTAAAATATTAATTTGCCTAGATCCATTATTTGATTGCCAGATTGTGATGTAAAAAAGTACAATTTTGGGTTATACCAAGCCATAAAGAACTCTCCCCATCAACCCACCTGCAATTTAATTTTAATTTTATTTTTAATAAGCTCCAGCCCCTTGTCGAACCACCTGTCGTCAAATTTCTGAAGCCACTACTGATGGAGACCCAACGTATAAACTACTCAGTGGCGTATCTAGGGGAGTGCGTATGCCCCTCCAAAAATTCCCCATCACCCCCAAAATTTACTTGCAAATAGTTAAAAATGACCTAAAACCACATTATTTTGCCAGTTAGCGCCCCTCAACTGATCATCAACGTCCCCCACTTCACCTTCGCGTCCACCCATCAGCACTCCCATTCAAGACTTCTAGATACGCCACTGAAGCTACTCATCCCACAACAATTGATTACAACTTATGACTTTGTAAAAAGGCAACAGAATAATATCTTTTTAATATAAAAAAAATGAAAACCTTACTTGCATGTACTCAACCATATTGCACTTTTTCCCAACAACTAATTTTGATTTCATGTTTGTTTTTTTTTTTTACTTTTTAGTAAGAGCAATGGAAAGACAATACACAACAACGGTACAACGTTGACACACAGGCCAACAGCTGCTGGAGAAGCAACAGAACTAGTAACAGGGGCAACGCCGGTAACAGCTGTTTCAGAGTGATAAAAAGCCCACATATTCACCATACAGCAACCATAACAAATAGACTAGATTCTACTTAACACACAATAGTAGTCAGTTTTTATTTGAATTATCAACTGGCTGTGGTAATCACTACTTACAATTGTGTACATGGTTGCTCTTGTCATTGACATCTTTCAATAAATCTAATTTTGTTGTTCATTATTTGATGTTAGGTCACCTGCAGTGTTGGATTCATTTCTTATTGAGATGATAATGAATATTGATAATGATAATAATATACAGTATAAATTATCATCTTTAATATAGATGAAGGTGCATTTCCACACCAAATTTTCTATCATGTGATTTATCATCTTTATTGAGGAAGTCAGAAAACAGTCAAAGATAACTGACAAACTATTATATTATTGTATAAAGT